AAAAATTAGAAATGCATCAACTTACTTTCGATGGAGACTTCCTTGGAAACTTGAAGTTTATTCTCCTGGTTGGTGATGCGGACTCTCTGGCCAATGAAGCCAGCTTAGCTTTGGCAAAACATTCCACTTGTTTATACCTCAAGGAATCTTTCACCTGTCATGAAAAAAATTGAATTTTACGGTAAATTTGTTGTTTGTTTCTTTCTGCTCAGTTTTGTTTAGGTTGGTAAATTTCAAGTATGACTACAAGAACAATGCTTGTCTAGCTTGTCTATTGAGAACATTTTGGGATATTGGATAATATGAGGTTATTACGAGGATACCTTAAAGTATGCACGAAGACAGCACAGTGATAGTATAAACAGCGTACTGTCTGAATGCATATTTTGAGGTATTCTCGCAATAACCTTATTATTATACATCTTTTCCTTCCAAGGATACATCATGGGAATGCCAAAATCCAAAAAGTTTAGAACAGAATCAGCCAACTTCTTTGTGTGAAGTCCGGCCAAACCCTGGTGGCAAGCCATGTTTGTTTTTATTAATAGAGGACGCTTACGTGCGTAATCATTTCATATTGGGAATTTGCATTTCCTAATATGGTAGGATGAAAATACTCCACAATACTCCACTAATACCACAAAATTACGGCACATTGTAACTTATGACGTTACGGTGACAGATGTATAATAATATTCATTATGTTTCACTATTTCACAATCGTATTGTGAAAAAGCTGACGGTGGTTTAGCATGCTGCTTGAGTGCATCAAACACAGTTAACATTACAAGATATAGTTTATCAACAAAACTAGAAATGGTTAACAAATGATAATCACTTGATGTGTAATTCAAACTTTATTTTCATTTATAAAGTAATTATTATAATACTGAAGCAACATTTTTATTATGGCATTAAAAAAACACTGAGTGCAATTCGATGACGTATACTTACCTTAAACTGTTCTTCCATCTCATCAGCACTGTCCTCATCGCTAACTTCTCCTGACTCTATCCTTTCATCTAAACCTGGTGGCAATTTTTTTGCCTGCAATAATAATAATCTATGACTTAAAACATTGTAACCGTTTCAGTGATGCAACATAGTTATTCTGAAACACAGAATTTTCTTCTTCGGAACACCCTTGAACCACCACCCACATTAGTTTTGAGAAAGTTTGTCATAAATCACATGACAATGTTAATACGTGTACGTACACCATAGAAATATAGTTCTATGGTATTATCGCATAATTATGTGTTGCAGTATTCAGTCATAACCTTCCTCAATAATATTGGTATTGACTGCAAAAATATGCAAATTAGATAGTCGCTTCTAAAGTTGAGTTTTTTTTTCGCAGATGCACAACTTGCCATGATGCATTTCCACAATTTATTTATATCCTTCAATGTTATGGTTATTCATATTTGAATCATAAATTCTCCAGAACTATTTACTGGCACAAACATGAGCCATGAATAACTATGCAAATTAGTCATATGTCTCCATGTAATAATAATTTTGGTATTTTCACAGCAAATTATGCAAATAAGCCGCTTTTATAGTCCAGTGTATTAAAGCTTAAGCCAGAAACAAAGTATTAAAGCGGGGGTGTCGTCACCTGCGCATGCATCAGATGGCCATAGCGTGTCATTGTTTACAAACAAGCGTCCACCCATGAGCCTTTGCGTTTCAACGCATGTTATCGTCGGTTGGGACTCAATTCCTGCGCGTACACAGATGACACCCCTTAGCTTTAAATGCCATAGTGATATGCCTCTGGTAAAGCTGTAATCTGTGTTTGTTTTCTTCAGAATGTGAGCAACAAATCAAACTGTCATTTCCATATTAATCAGCAAATTAATAATAAAATCACAGTGAGGCCGTGGCAATCTTTCATATTATAAAATAACATTCTATTGTATGTTACAGTATTGTATTTTGAGAAAACAATCAAATTAGGCAGGACAACAAATGATTGCGAAATGGCTAAATTTGCTATTTACTTTTGAGTTGCAGTTAGAGGATACAAAATTGACCTCTGACCTTGATAAGAATCTTGTACTTCAACTGTTCTGGGGATGGGAGATATCTGGCATGGCGGTCAGGTGGGTCGATATTTAGATGATCTAAGAAATACAGTTATGGAAATATACAACAAGATGCGAAAAAAATGAAAGTATCTTCTCTGCAAACTACCTGTACATAATGCTGCATAGTTTTAATATTTTTGATGACAAAGTTAACTTTTGTCATCAGACTGACAGAAATCATTTGATTTAATGAATTTTTGAAGACCAACAAACTGCGAAATATTTGTTTTGATTGAAATTTACAAAAAAATTATAAATAATACATGAAAACGGGAAATTGTTGGTGTTCAATGAGACATCTGAAGCGTCACAGTTTTCAAACATATGCAAAATCACATTTGTGTATTACTCATATTTAACCACCGAATCACTATTTCCAACTTTTGTATACATACCCCAACAAAGTAGATCCATTAAATAGTTTGCAAGATTAACTTAAACTGTTACAATCATAAAATACATTATTATTATCATTAAAAAAGGATACCACCGAAGATTTCTTTCATGTAAGATGCCATTATCTTCTGTTGCTCCAGGCAACAGTGGTTTTCCACTGACACTATAAGTGGGTATGGACTACTGGTAAATGCATACTTATTGATGGTCTGAATAACATTCTTGAAAGGAATCTTTGAAGTTAGAGTGTAACCATGGTAAACCATGGGTTCCCCATCAGGACCATCCCAACAGTCAACTAACAGAAAAACAAAAACCATCAAATCAATATTAAGATCATGGCAGGAAATATACACCAATGAGATTCATTATGGAAATGAATTTTATTCATTTTCAGTAATTTTTTGCACATTTTTATGTATTATGTTTACGCTCGGGTATTATCTCCCAACAAATAAGCTATATCCAAGTACCCCTGCTTGCCATTTATAATCTCGAATTATTACCTTCTACACAGCGACAGCCATTTTGTAAAACAAACGCATACACATCCATACTTGATTTAGACAGTAACTGGTCGCCTAGGAGATAAGTATTATGGGATGCTGCTATGTAATAGTGAGATAGCGGTCGGGTCATGTCTTGATGGACTTTGGAATGTATTGGGTTGAAAATATCACCTTCTCTGCTGAGTAAATATCTGCTAAAACCTGGAATAAGAGATATATAGAGCTGTGCTAATTAAATGAGCAAACAGTCAGTCAGAGACAACAATACCGCCCTCTAGAGTTTCAAGGATCTGAATAATTTTTTAATTATAATATTCAATAAAACTACTGTAGTTTTGATACATGTAAGAGAATCTGACCGCATTAAAAAAGAAAAAAACATAGAATTTTAATAGATGCAGCACTACATTAGGACATTTTCATCACACTGAGCCTGAGTATTGCACATGTTTTGATAATGTGTGGGTGTGAAATTTGACATACTAGTAGCTGAAAATCAAATACACCTGTTTAACCCTCACCCACCCCCGCAATGTAAGGTACTGTATGGTATAATAAAATATTGTTTCATATCAATATATATTACCATTACAGAGTAAAATAGTTAAATTATGTATTAGTTTTCTCCTGCATCATTGATAATGCCATAACTTACCATCAATTCCCAGCCATCCATTCTTGGCATTATCAGGCACGGGTTCAAAATTCTTTATCACATCCAGACAATACCTAAGACTAACACTCGTCATCTGAAGACAATTAAGACAATAGAAAATCTTGTCAATAATATAAATATGATACACCATTGAACAATATGAACATGCATAGACAGCCATGTAGACAGATTGAAACATAGAGACAGGTGGATGGGGCATAATTACATATCACTTACTGTTTGTTCTGTCTCTAAAAAATGAGCAAGTTCTGCAGCAGTCAGGTATTCCTTCCCGTTGCCATAGCGAAGTAACAACATATAAATTTCTTTTCTTGTACTTATTCTTTTATAAAAACTAACAAATTCATCAAAATCTAAAAGTCCTTCATTCTGGTCAGTGATATTAGTATCTGCTTCCTGAGTAATAACAACAAATATGGAAGTGTTAAATATTTAAAACAAACAAAAGTTTATTAGATGTCATAAGCAAAAGTTATTGTCATGTTATACGGGTATTATCACACACTCAAAGAAAGCTAAAAAAGTCTGTGTGTTAAGTAGTTTTATTAAATATTCCTTGTGAGTTATCAAGTTTAAGAAATATATAAAGTTGACCAGTCATTGCATGTCATAGATATGGCTCATGAACAGCATCCATAGAAACAAAATGATCACTTGTCAGCCATTTTGAATCCCCTCAGAGAAACAAAGTTCATGCCTAATGCATGTAACATTGAATCATCAAATGAATACCTGTTCATAAGTGTGACATGACGTATGATTTATTTACAGTTTGAATGAAAAGTGATACAACAAAACTGTAAATTACATTCTCCTACATTTGTGGAGCTTTTTCTTTAGGGGTCATTATGTTGTTTGGATTGAGGTTCCCTTTAAATCAAAGCATATCAGAGCCTTGGAACAGCATTCATTAAAACAAAATGGCCACCAGTCAGTCATCTTAAATTACAAAATTTTGAAATACATATGATGTGCATCAAGGATTCAATGTAAGTCCAATGTATTTACCAAGAATCCTTTCCAAAATGGCAGAAATGTTTAAATATAATGAATCTTTAGTATTAAAATGGCTGCCAGTCGGCCATCTTGAATCCAATTGTCAAAGAAATACATGTGTTTAATATGTACATACAAGGTTTGAACATGATTAGACAAGGCATGTCAAAGATGAGGTTCTGGAACTACATTCATTGAAAACAAAAAGGCTGTCAGTTTCATTTCCGCTACAGTTAGTCGATATGATCACCGTACTGCCTTTGTGCAGACTTTGCGGTATTCTCGGGATAACCTCATATTATTATTTGTACATACAAGTTAAGCATTCCCTGATTGGTTGATGATGTTTGATTCATGTAGCCAATAGAAATTCAATTACCTTGAACATCTGCCTAACTTTTCTTTTACTTAAATTAACGTTAAGTCTGTGCAATAACATAATGACTTCGCCGATACTCAAGAGACCATCTCCACTTTTATCAGCTGATTTAAATGTTGATTTCAACCACTGGTCTCGTAACCGCTGTTGTTGGGTGTGACTTTCCTCCTCAGACATTCCTGCCATTAAATACTTCAAACCAACAGTCCAGACAGTGGCATCTTCTTGTTGCCTAGCAACTAAATCTAAAACATCACACTGGTTGCCATAGATAATAGAGAAACAGCAGGAAGAGTCAAACATTCCATCCTGGCATTTGAGAAATACATCAGTGGAAGCACCTTGTCTGATTTCTCGGATACAGTCAATGGGTACTGTAAAACAATAAAATATAAAAGTTGAATGTGAGATGGATATGACTTGAAAGACCATTATACATGTAGTAACCTAACAACAATTTTTCTCTTTATTTTAAATACCTTTTCATGCATATTCACATCGTTTAGAAGGAACCCTTTATACAATCAATTATACAACCAAGATTCCATGGTCTACTTGAATAGACTGTAAATTTTTATTTCAAAATGATGTGTATATTCATATCTGTGAGATTTCATTACTATATCTGATTGAGATTAGAGCTCAAACTTCTATTAAATGGTACGTACCATTAATTCAAACTGAATAGGCATTTAAAAAGTATATTTTTTCATTAACAAATCGATTATTCTTTTACATACAATACTAATGTGAAAAAACAATATCGAACACGAATTCCAACATGTACACTAAAGCTATGACTAAAATCAAAAATCTATTATTTACTGAATTAAAATTGGAAAATTAATGTTGCAGAGATATTAGGTAAATTTTATAGTCACATACTTTTGGCATCCACTTTCCTGGAAGGTTTCCAGCGTATCGACGTCTTGTCTTGGTCCAAATAAAACGATCGTGTAATCATATGCCCCTGACCTTTGACTTTCACCATGGAAACAGCTTGTTGCATTTTATTTATACATGAATGCACTGTCAAGAAGAGAAAGATAAAGATAAAAAAAATGCATGCACATTTTGAAGTCAATTTATAATAATTTAAAACTTGAGAGAGATCTTAATTAACCACCTGGTTGTTATTCGCATCATTATCTGGTTGCTTAATATTGTATGACATTGATCATGACTTCTAACCTCCTTAAAAGGTTAATTCACTACTCAAGGTTATCGTTAGAATGATATCATGCATATGAGATGCATTACCTGGGATGCAACAAGGGAATATTGGAGATAAATGGTGTGAAGATAAAAACAAATCAGGAAGGGACCGTGAAATTCTATTGAAAGACGAGGGAATAAAGGTTATATTGGAAGATGGGAAACAAATTTTATTTATTTATTCATTCATTCTGTAATTTATTTATTTGGGACGACCTTCTGGAGGGAGCAGGTTCAGTATATGTAACTTCTGACCTTTGACCTTATGAACACATATTACTATTTTGTTCAACTTTAATCAAGAAACAATTAATGCATGCAATTAATCCTGCATAATAATAATATCTTTATTACATCGTAATGAAAAAAAACAATGTTAACTTCATTTCAGGCACAAAAGTAACAGAAGAATACTTCAAACAAAAATAAGAACAAAACTAAATAAAAGAACATGAATGAGCTGATTAGCATAATTTATACATATTTATATTTCACATCAGAAATTTAGCCTAATACTAGTATGCATACAATTGTACATGTCAAGTAGGAATCCAGTCTAGTCTCCCGCCAGACAACTCATAATAGCTGACACTTTCATTTCATTGCGAGAATGTAAATTTAGCCATGTATACAAAGATATAGATTTTCAATTTATCTACTTTACAACGGAAACTATGGATTACTTATTCACTTCATTTCCTCCCATTTCACATCCAACATTCCAGACAATTCACAGTATTTAGGAAATTACAAATTTAAAGTATTGAAATAAAGGATGCAATCATCCAACGATGCAGTGCTCGGCTTTTATTAATTATGCATGTAAAAGTAACCCTGGGGACAAATTCAATATCGCTTCTTATCTCACTTCTATAACGATTGTGACTCATGAATTATTAAATTGGCAAATTGAGTTCAAGAATGTTCCCAATAAAAATGCACTTATTTCATTTACCATATGTTAGACCCCTCTGCTATAATGATGATCAAGTGAGTTTTGCATTGTTTATTAGCCGCCATTTTATATTCAATTAATTAATTCATGGTAGATCAATAAATTGCTGAAGTCACTGAGTATGCAATGTTACGTGTATATCCTCATAACCGATTAATAATAATAATAATAATTGTTTATTGTATCTTTAGAAATATACATTTCTTTCAGTATATAGCAATAGAAATATTAATCAATACAGAAAAATAAAATAAAATATGTTACGTCCAAAAATGGTGAATTGTAAACTATCAAAGTATATGTAAGATTTAATAACAGTGAGAAGCAGGACTATGTGTTCATATCAGTAAAAGGCATGGACTAAATCTTGCCATTTTTTTTCATTCCATACCCATGTAAATGAATAATATTTTTGGAAAGTTTCTTAAAAATTTATATTTTTTTAATATTTTGATTTAAAATGTAGGTATTTCAAAAATCATCAAAATCTGTTTGTAATGATTTTTTTGGAGATCAAGTTACTACCTGCATAAAAAACATTTCAAAATAAAAATTTACAAACCTATTGTATATGCACATGTCAAATACTGTTTTATCAAATCCTAGCTTTCTAATCTAAACACAATCTTGGTCATAATTTAATCGGCACCTGGATGTTTGCCAGAGGACAGCCCATGTACTTGTTCTGATCTCAGATGAAAATACACTGATGTTGATAAGGTTATATAAGATAAGAATATACAACTTTTATAATAAACCAAATCTATTTGAAGACGATCACATTCCATGTGAATTCAATGCTTGGAGCCGTTTTGTAATCTTTCACATGCTTCCACTCATTCTTCTTCTACTTCTGCCATGAACTTGTTTCAGTTTGATCTTCTAAAACTTTGCATGCTGAAATCAGTTTATGCTCACTGATGCATTTTGATTGGTCACAAGGTTTGGCAGCCATATTGGTGTTAAAAAACCTGAAAGTAGCTGTATTTATAACCCCTTTCTGATGGTCTTGCCAATCAAAATTATTTGGAATAGGCATGCATGAATTGCATTATAATTAATTTTATCTTAAAAATGGCATTGAACATTAAAAAATAACCTTCTCAAGAACCACTAATCAGATTAATTAATCAGTTTAATTAAGTGTGTATGATCTATGGAAAATGTACTTATGGGTTTGACTGAATCATAACTTAGTTTGGTGGCCATCTTGGATTTGCATTTGTAAACATAATTATTTCTCATACTAGTGAGGTGTGAGTAAACTGAAATTTGTATTATAGCATGATTTACATGACTCAAGGTACTACCAAAATCATGGATGAATATTTAAATTTTTATTGCAATATTGGATTTTCCAAATTTGCTTAATAAATCATTTTCTGTCTCAGAAAGATTTGTTCCATTGATATGACATTAGAATTCTAGCATCCATGTACTATCTGTATTACATAATGTGAAGCCCAATTGGAGGTGAGCGTTTTTTATTTCAACCAACCAACAAGCCAGTCCTACTATAAATGTAGGTTTTACACTACAATTATAATATTTATCAAGGACCATTGTTTTTCTACTGCTTAAAAATAAAAGGTGCTCGTATTTCAAAATATTTCGTTGAATACCAGAATAACCAAGACCTGCATACACTAAAGAGTGGAAAGTTTGCAAACACCAAATAGTTTTGAAATGTAAAGGGAAGCCTTGTCAATTTTTCCAATATTGTCATGTTTAATTTTTGGGACATCTATGACAATTCTGTTTCTGTTTGATTTTAGAACCTTGACAAACCAGACTTTTAATTTGTATTAAAGGGTGGCAGTCATCGCGCCACGTCCTGTTCGATATGGGACTCATAGCGACGTATAAAACACATGTAAAATACATTGTTTATTTACATGAAATTTGAACACATGCTCGCGACGACGACCACCACGCTTTAAATTTTGGCTACACTGCTCAGTAATTCTGCTTTTCAAGTTTTGACATTGTCACGTCTAAGAAGTTTAATTTTAGACCTTTGTGTCTTGCACTAGAAAGTCATCTAAAAATAGACAACATATCTCCTCCAGAAGTGTTGAGTGTGAACTCCAAATCTGAAATTAGTTGTCTTGTATCGTTTAATACAACACACCCTGCAGCATGACTTGAGAGATAACAGACCACAAAATGTACACCATTCATCAAATGGATGACAAAAAACAGTGTTCCAAAGTAGAACAAAGTAAACAACAATCAAAAACAAAAGTTTTTTAAGATTGCAGTAGAGAAAGGGAATAACTTCACATAGAGACACTGTTTAATTTGTTTTCCTGTTTGAAACTATATTATTTGTATAACACATATATATACTGCTGTGGAACTCATGAATAATTCATATTGAAAAGATTGAGACACAAATCTCTGAGTGTGCATGTCTATACGCAGGTTAATTGAGTATGTGATCTCACTTCAGTATCTGAATATTCTAAATTTACAAGACAAGACTGGCTAAGACAGGAATATAAATGATTTACACATCACAAATAACACATGTACTTCATGAATACTGTCTAGAGTTTCCATTAGGATGTCATGTGTCAACACTTTTCAATGTATACTGACACAGACATGTATTCTTAACTCAGAATACTGCAACCAAAATGTGAGCATAAAAACAGGGTATAGATAGAAATGTTTATTACACAGCCTTTTTAAAATACTTAAATGCTGAGGCACTTAGTATCCTTATTGTACACAGAAATAAATATATTGAATATATGATATTATTATACATCTGTCATCGTAACGCCATAAGTTACAATGTGCCGTAATTTTGCGGTATTTTACAGGGTATAGGAAATGTGAATTCCAAATATGGAATGATTATGTGCGTAAACTTCCTCTAATAATAAAAACAAACATGGCTGCCACCAGAGTTTGACTGGATTCAACAGAAGATGTTCGCTGATTATGTTCTAAACTTTTTGGATTTCGGCATTCCCATGATGTATCCTTGGAAGGAAAAGATGTATAATTATAAGGTTATTACGAAGATACCTCAAAGTATGCACTCAAACAGTACGGCACACATCGACCTCCGCTACGCGTTGGTCGATACTCCAGCTTTATACTGTCTTTGTGCATACTTTGAGGTATTCTCATAATAACCTTGTATTATTTTATAACGTTAAACATTCATAACTGACAATACAAAGCTATACATGTATAACAATGACTGGGTGTACTTAATATGATCAGTATATGATGCGGACATGGCATGATGATTGTACTGCTCTTGTACTCATTGGTAGTACATGAAAGTATGCATAATTTAACATTAATTAAATATAATATTTGAAAAGCATGATATATATTTTTTTTCCTTTTCAAATTACTTGTGAGCCTGGCATCATTTCCAACACAGAAGCTACTGTCGTCTCTGTGGATGCTTTAAGATTCGGTGCTAATTGCAAGTGCATAAAAACATATCTTCACATAATTCTCAGATACAGTATGTTTGGAAGGCAGGGCAGACTGAACTCTGTTTTATACTGCTGTATAAGCAATCTGCTCCAGGAGTCAAACCCTGAACCTCCCTGCATGTGAGGTGTATACAGTAACCACTGTACTGTCGCCATGGTATTTATATAATTCTTTCAATTTGCATAGTTTCAATTTGAACGCATACAACTAATATATTGACGACACAGTTTACGTCATCCTCTTTAAATCGGTGTTACATCTACTCACCGTCTACTTCTGCCAATTCATCATCATTCAATACAAGACTTTTACTTCGTGGTAAATGTCTTCTGGGTTTACCGTTACCCTTGGAAACATCTGCTGGCATGGCTCCCGAG